CAGCTGGAGTACTGTGTCCAGTTCTGGGCGCCGCACTTCAAGAAGGACGTGGAGAACCTGGAGAGGGTCCAGAGGAGGGTCACTCATATAGTTGGGGGCCTCCATGGCCAGCCCTGTGAGGAGAGGCTGAGGGACCTGAATCTCTTCAGTCTCTGCAAGAGGAGACTGAGGGGGGATCTTGTGGCTGCCTACGACTTTATCAGGGGTCAGCAGCAGGGACTCTGGGAAAGTCTGTTCAGCAGGACCCCCCTTGGAGTCCCCAGGAACAATGGCCACAAGCTGAGGGAGGATAGGTTTAGGTTAGGTATTAGGAAGAACTACTTCACTGTAAGGGTGGCCAGAGACTGGAATAGGCTCCCCCGAGAGGTGGTGCTCTCACCTTCCCTGGAAACCTTCAAGAGGAGACTGGATAGGCACCTGGCTGGGGCCTTATGACCCCTGCCATCCCCAGTGCTCCTTCCTGCCCATGGCAGGGGGTCAGACTCAATGATCTGTCTAGGTCCCTGCCGACTCATTGATTCTATGGTTCATTCTGTATTGGCCTCTAAATAAAGAGATTTCTTAAATAACTTTTGACAGTGATTTTAAAAAAAACGCATAGCCAAAAAAAGCCTTATATTGGATGTGGAGAGCCATTTGTCTCTCTTCTAACTAATGAATGATGTGTAATCAGCTGATGTGACAAATCTGTTCTATGTATTGCTTATGTGAGATGCTTTGCAACTTTTGTGAAATTAATTAAAGCAGGGGTTGGCAACCTATGGCCCATGGGTTGGATCTGGCCTGTGGATCCAGCCCACAGAATAGTGTCTTCAGTAGTGTTCAGTGGCTGGGGACTCTCATTGTGCCACATTAGTCAGCCACTTGGAGCCTCTGGCAGAGTGGGCGGGGGTGAGAATCTCATCTACTACGCCACAGTTGAGTGGCACAGGCTCCAGTAGTGGGGAGAAAGACCCAGCCACCATCAGTGTTAATGCCTGCCTGCCTCTGAATAGATCTGGGTCATTCTGCCCCACCCTGAGTTGCTTGCGTTCAAGTGTGGAATAGTGATCTGTGGTCAGTGGATTTCAGTGTAGTACCCATATTTGAGGCACAAAGGAACAAATGTCCAACTCTTCTTTACCTGAAGTAGTGAATACACCTGTTCAGGCAGGTGAAAGTGGTAGGAGTGGCAAAGTTAGTTATCTAGGAATGTTTTAGTGCATCCAAGTGAAGATCCAAGAACAAGATTACAGTACAAGCTTTCTTCTGCATTGCCCTGCCAGGCAACAAGCTGCTGGATCTAACAAGTGCCTAAGTCTAAACACGTAAAAGTCTGAGTAAGGCATGGCTTGGTTGGTGAGATGCCAGAGCTTTGACTCTTAGTGCGAAATGATTGGCACTGGATGGTATGCTGGTAAAGCTGGTGACTGGTGCCTTGGAATCTGCTTCCGTGGCTTAGAAAAATAGAGCTGGAATGGACCTCGGGAGGTTGTCCGATTTGTTTCCTTACTTGGGACAGGATCATCCATGTCAATATCACCTTGTCCAATTGCCTATTTTGTTTCCAAAGATGAAGATTCTACAGCCTCCGTAGGTAACCTGTTCTAGGTAATTTCTGTTGTTAAACATCTTCAACTGCTGTTAGCATAGTGGTGGGCATGTTTAGAAATTAGCTAGTATAGACAACTTTGCTGATTTCATAATTGTGAACTCTCTGAACTGTGCTTCGTATAAAAAGAAGTCCTGTACCTTAAGCTCCCACATCTGACGTTGAAAAATGTAGATCGTACAGTCAAGAATTACATCCCCCTTTACTGTTATCGGAGTGCAACCGAACAGATGCTTTCGTCTGTAACTGAATTATCAACCCTCTGCATCACCTGTCTCCTTGGTGTATGCATTTAAAGTAGTGCTGGAACCCAAAAGAATACTGCTAAGTTTTTAGTTACCTTAGAATCATAGAAAAGTAGGGCTGGAAGGGACTTCTTGAGGTCATATAGTCCAACCAGTTGCTCAAGGCAGGATCATCCCTGGCTAAATCACCCTAGTTGAGTGTCTGTCTAACCTCCTCTTGAAAACTTCCAGAGATGGACAACTTCTAGGTTGTCTGTTCCAGAGCTATTATATTATAATTTTATGCTGTAGATCAGTGATATTTTAAATTGGGATGGCAAAGGGGCATTCTTCCCTTCTTTCCTACTCCATTGTGTAGTCTGGTATTGCTAAAGACCCCAGTCTTGCTCTACAATTCATGGAGATTCCAAGCAGCTGAGATCTGAGTTTAGACCACCTTTTTATTCCTAAGTAATGAATTGCAAAGAATTAACTTCTACAGTTAAGTCAGTTTATCAGTTTGATATCCTGATTTGGCTTTTTAAATTTAAGTGTGCATGATACGAGTGTTAACACATTTTATATGTGGCTTATTTTCTGTATATGCTAGCAGTTGTGATGGAGCTTGTAGGAAGAAATTGAGATTTCCATACCTTATTTCATCAGACTAATTTGGGGCTCTTTTTTAACATTTAAAAGACCTTTTTGAAGTCCTAAGATTTTAGCCTTCCAGCTCTTAAATATTTAGAAACTCTTATTCCTTGTACTTTTTTATCATACCCAGGAAATCAGACATACAGTGACAGGCTTTATTGCCTGTACAAATCTATACCTGGGAAATATTGTCAGTGGAATTGGATGCTGTGTTCAGAGCAATAAGAGAGAATGAGCTAGGAGGCATATTTTGCCTAAGCTTGAGACCTGAATGCATGTCTGCAGTCAAAATGATACTTACTAGTAAGCTGATTGGCTTGCAACAAAAACTCAATAAGATGTCTGCCTCAGGTATAAGATCTGACTGACTGGTTGTCTGTTTGTCTACTCTGTAGAAGCTTATATGCATTCACACTCTACTATTACAGCAAGCTAATGATTTATTTGCTCAGTGCCATAGGTGTGGATGCTGCTTTACAGGTGAACAAAAATGGCAGCTCTTTGTCCTCGGGGACTTTAAAATAGGAATCTGCAGCTTGGTCATTAGTGGTGTGTGTTTACACACCTGCATATGCATGTTTAGAGGAGGACAGTATGAGGAACCTAGGGCTATAGATATAAAAGCTTATTGTTATGAATACATCTTTGGGTTTCTTTGGGACTTTCTTAAAACTAAACTAACTTGCTGCAATACAACTTGATCAGTGTTTTGGAATAAGAACTAGGGTGGAGGTCAGTGGCAGAAGCCTGAGTACTGGGAAATGACTGGATGGAGGGCAGGAGGCTCAATGACTCAGAGGGTCAGAAGATCTTCCACATCTTGAAGTCAACACAAGAAAAATAACTTCTCTATTGAAACGGGGATTAGCACACGAGAGGTCCTGCTGAGTGTTTTGTTTGTGATTTTAAAATGTATGCAGTTAAATGACATGTTCTAGCATATCACATGATATTTTTTTTATGCATGGACAATTGGGTGGCATTTGTTGAAGTACAGCCAGGTGAGTTGTTCAGTTTTGGTGATGACCTAACAGCTCTCCAAAAGAGACACTAAGCTTTATTTGAATGCCAAAGAGCAAAGGATGCACAGCCCTTTCTCACTTCAGCCATCCTGTGGCTGTTGCATGGTGCAGATCAATGCAGGCTTTCTCGGGGAAGCTCTTGTGCTTTGTGTTAAGTGAGTCTTCTACTTGACTTAGAGTTCTGGTGCAGGGGTGGATGGGTGGGTGTGCAGTGAGGGCATGGCCTGGGCCTCTGAATGGCCATCTGGTGCCCCAGGGTGGGGGAAGTAGCTTAGTCTGTTTTGTTTTCCTGTATGAGGTTTAACGATTATCCTTTGGCTGTGTGTGGATAGCTCTACTGTCATCTTGAAAGGTAAATAACTACTTGATGTAACCTTCACCTGATTAGTCCAGCTTAAGGCAGCTTTATTTTAGAACAGCCATTAAATAGTGGCATGCACCAGCCCTGAATTTCCTGTGAATCTCATTTTTGACTGTCCCCCTCTTCCTGAGCACAACCTCTGTGGCCCCCCGTCTTTACTGTAATTAGGGCTGCTTACACAGCCCTAAAAAACGTATCTTAGACCTCTGTCACACTCCTGCCTTGGCGCCTTTCATCCTTGGTGAGGCTAGCTGGGAACTCAAATCTTTGTCTCCCTGACATTAATAGTGGGACACCACCTCTTCCCCTCCTCACTCAGACATTGGCTAGATATGGTAGGATGCTTTATTTTACCCATGTGTCTTCAGAGGTGTTGGGGTGACACTGACCTGGGGGTGGAAGGGATGGGATTGATCCCATCTGACTCCAGGCCTATTTGCCCTGCACCCACTGCTGGGAGCACTAGATGGAACAGGCAGGGTCACCACAGAGACTGGCTGGGACCTTCACAGGCAGGGCATGCTCAGCCTGGCACGTGGGATGAGGCCACGGTGTCTGGGAGGGGGATGACCAGGGCCAGGGTTGTGGGGCAGTGACAGTGTGGGGCTGAAGCGAGAGGCTGGGACCTGGTGCAGAGCCATGATCTGTTCCCTGCACCCCCTGCAATGGGCGCCAGTTCCGCAGGCAGGAACATGTGGGTACCAGACTGCAGCTCAGCCCCATCCCCTGTACTGATGCTGCTTCCCGCTCACCCACGTCCCTGTCTCATCCATCTGGCCAAGCGCACCCTACCTGTGGGGGTCCCGGCCAGTCTCTGTGGAGAACCCGCC